TGCTACTGCTACTGCTACTACTTGTTTTGTGCAAAAAGCTGGTCAATTGTAGTAACGTCCAGTTTCTGGTTGCATGATGTTGCAATATGGGGCTTCTGGTTGTGGTATCGGGGTTCCGGTTGTAGTAGGGTTAATAGGGACTATTCCTGCCTCGGCTTCCCTCTTCCTGAGACGTCGACCGCGAATATGCACTGGCTTCTTTTCTGGCGGCCACCAGAAAAGAATGCCAGTGTATACGTGTCCGTCGTGTTCAACACTGACGTAGTGGGTGCAGCCAGCTGGCAGGAACCGAGGAGCCACGGCGTCGAAATCGACGTGGCACTCAGTGCAGCAGGGATGGAGGTGCAACCTGCAAAGGGGTTTGTGGTTTGTCACGAAAGCGAGACCCCTTGGAGCTAGCAGAGCATTTTTCCAAGCGTAGGTTGAATTGCTGCAGGGGTGTGGGGGAGGGGGGCTATGAAAATTTCTTTTTGTCGGTCAATCCCCACCTGCTTTGGATGTCCCAGGCCCGTGTGCTCCGCGGCGGCGGCAAAAAGGTAGGTCTCGTTGCCGCAAGCACTTGCGGGGGTTCGTGGGCTCGCCCGAGCTCCTCGGTCGTGGAGCAGCTGCATCCCCTCACCCTACACCCCGGGTGGACCCGACACCCCATGACCCAAAGCTGGTGAAACCCTCCCCGAGGTGTGGATCGAGATGACTCCGGAGAACCTGGACTACGTTCGCCGCTGCATCAGGGCCACACTGCCCCACGAGCGCAAACTCCGGGAGCCGGGAGAAGGGTCTCCACCCAGTCGCCGGCGGCATGTGCTGCAGAACCGCAAGCGCGAAGCGGAGGAGCAGCAGGCCTTGCCTGAGGGCGAGGAGAAGAACCTCACGATGGAGCATGCGGGCCTTGCCTCTGCAACTGCCCCAAGAGCCAGCGCCGGTAGGTGACGAAGCCGCGGATTCCTCATCGCAGCCTGAGTCCTGAGAATGATTTGAAGATGTTGTGCTGGGAGTTCATGCACAAAAGGTCGCCTTCGGACGTTGCCCTGTTTCTGCAAATGCTCTTGGCTGTCTCCAAAGTCGTGCGCCGTCGGTGGGAAAACCCAAGCAAGAAACCTCTCAGGGCGGGAAATTCGCTGTGGCAGCCGGGGAACTTAAAGGATGGCTTTGGTGAGTCTGTGCAATATACAGTCGGGTTGCCAGGGCACAACGCTGTAGAAGGGATTGTTTGCTCTGCCGTGTTTAGACGCCTTCCGTCCAGCAAACACTCGCTTAGTTGCATGCAGTTCTGCTTGGACTGTCTGTTTTTTCTTGATTGGTTGCAGTTCCCTGTTTTTGGGACACCAGCCACACAGTGTCTTAACGCCAAGGACACCAAACGAACACCGATGTCGATCGTCATTGACAACCGGACTCGACAAAAGACGAAATCACTCACCACCCGTTCAAAATCAAGGCGACCAAGGCAGCACACCCTGTTCCGCAATATCTGTGCGCTGGAGTCACCCGCCGTCCATCCGATATCGACCCGTTGATAGCATGCTCGTAGTCGGCGCGCCCACCACCTGAGGGGATCCGACAGAATCAAAACAAACTAGAAGCCCCACAACCTGAAACCCAGACGTCAAAACCTACAGCCCAATCACGCTAAACCCCTAATACCTTAAGCCCTAAGACCTTAAAAATCCCAAAACTCTTCAGCACAGCTTCAACAACAAACCCTAAACCGAGGCCCAGGACCAGCTCGATGATCTGCTCCTCCAGCTCGCCGCCCGTCGCGGCGAGGACGCCGCAGGGCTTTAGGATGTGTTCAGGCTTTTAGGATGTTTTGGGAATTTAGGGTTATAGGTTCAAGGGTTTAAGGATGTTTAGGTTTTTTTTTGCTGCTTTGGGTTTGGTTAGAGTCCCTGATCTCCCACCGATTGTTCCTTTGCCCGTAGACAACCAAGCATTTGACAGAGTTTAGAATTGAGGATTCAGGGTTCTGGGGTTTTGGGTTTTAGGACTTTTGAGTTTGTGGCCACGTTCTGTGGTGTTGCTGCTGGCAATTGCGATCCAATAGTCAGCAGAGTCTTTGTTGGGGTTTTAGGGTTTAGGGTTTGTCTTGTGATCGCCGTCCATGACAACTTCGGTTGCGCATGCGCTCGATTTGGTATGATCTCGACCGTGGTAGCTATGTTTTCTTGTATTGACACTTGGTAGTTTCTGTTCCAGCCGGTGCAGGAGTCATTATCACGTTGCGATAGCAGTTACCATCAGAGCGGCAAGCCTGTCGTTATCTGTTTCCGTAAATTGGTCTATACTGCCTTGGAGCCTGATACCCTCAAAACCACACTCTACCGCGTCGCAGTCGAGGTATGCTTCATCTTCTGCCTGCTCTTTGCGGCATCATGAAATGTACCCCGCCCGTGTCTCCGACTGAATCGTCAGTAGTATTCTCAACCCTCAAACCTCAGCCGGAAAGCCTGGGCTCCAATCAGAATTGAAAGCAAACCTATACTCTAAACGACAAGCCTTCAACTCAATTAAACCCTGAACCCTAAGCCCTAGACTCTAAACCTTGAACCTTAAACCCTAAGCCCCAAACCCTAAACCTTAGACCCTAAATCGAAACCCGAAGCATTAAACCCTAAACCCCTAATAGGAGCTCAAAGAGGCCATGCAGGAGGCGCTGATATCTTCGTGGCTTAGGGGGTCTAGGCTTCGCGGGACTTAGTACTATGGGTTTCGGGTTAAGGGTTTAGGGCTAGGCTTTCTGGGACTTGGGACTCAGCAATATAGAATATTGTTTGGGGTTTTAGGCTTCCCGGGACCTAGTTCGGGTAGTTGAGGGTGACGGATTCGGGACTTTGTTGGGAGTTCATGGATTTAGGGTTGAGGCTTTAAGTTTTAGGGTTTAGGGCCCAGGGATGATCGGTGCGGCACTGGATCTAGAGGTACGCGTCTGGGGTCTCGTTTCGGCTCTCGGTTCCTTGAGCCGTTTGGGAGCCCATCTTCGCGTAGAGTCGGGTAGAGGGGCCTTGCTGTTTCGGGGCCTGTTATGGTATAGTATCAGTACATATTAAGGAACCCTAAGGAATTATAACGAATGAAGTTTGGAAGTTGCTTGAAGCGGTGGATGGTGCTGCGAGAGTAAAGGTCTACTGTTGGGTGTCTGCAGCGGTTCCGTCGAAAGCTATCCATAGTCCATCTTGCCACCCTAAACCCTAAACCTTATGCCCCTCTATGAATTGCAAGCCATCCTGTTGATGGACCAGCCGCACGAGACGGATTACACAAGAGGAGCCTTAAAGAAGAGTCTTTATATCGTATATACGGATGCCGGAGAAGTATTTCTAGCCCTCTGCACGACCAGCAATCACCAGGAGGAACCCTAAACCCATCTGAACCCTAAACCTGAAGCCTTAAACTTGAAGCCCTAAACCCTAAGCGCTTGAAGCCCTAAGGCCTAAGCACTAAACTTGAAGCCCTAAACCTTATGCCCTGATCTTGAAGCCCTAGACCCTAAGCCAAAACTCCAAAGCGCGGTGCACTGGCCAATCAGTGTCCAGGAGGACGGCACCGTGAACGAACAACATGTGTCAGCATCTCAGACTCCCCAGTTAGGGTTTAGGGTTTAGGGTGTAGGGTGTTCAGGGATTCCGTAAGGGGTTCCCTTCTTAGGGCGACCCTTAGAAAGGGTTCCCCAACAGCTTCTATAACGGGTTCCTGAACGGGTGCCCCTTAGACGCTGCTAAAACACTCTGCATCCCAACCCTGAACCCTCAACCCCAGGTCTTAATTTAGGGTTTAGAGTTCAGGGTTTAGGGTCTAGGATTCAGGGTTTAGGGTTGAGGGTTTAGGGTTCAGGGTTTAGGGTTTTAATGCAACCTCAAACCGCAAGTCCAGCAGCCAAACTCCTGCGCTGAGAGGGCCACCAAGGGGCGATGAACCCTGAAGTCACAAAAGACCCCAAACTCTAGTAGAGCGGGTTTAGGGTTTAGGGTTTAGGGTTCGGCCTTAAATCATTATACCAGGGCTTTGGGTTATATATTCTGCTATACATATATTCGGAGCTAGAAGGGGTGTAATGTTGCAAACGGTTCAGGCTTCTGTATGAGTCTGGAGGCTCGAAGCACTCTGCAGCCCATGCGCTAACTCAGGGCTTTGGGGGTTTTTGGGTTTAGAGGTTTAGGGCTTTGGGGTTTTGGGTTTAGAGGTTTAGGGGTTTAGAGGTTTAGGGTTTTGGGGTTTTGGGGTTTAGAGGTTTAGGGGTTTAGGGCCCGAAGCATACGCATCAGAAGTCTTTGGGTTTCTCAGAGCTGGAATGGGGCTTTTGGGACTTCTTTTGGGGGACCTCAAGGGGCTATCATAGGGATCCATTCCCCCCTAAACCCTAAAACCCTAAACCCTGAACCCTAAATCCTAAACCCTAAACCCTGCAAGCCCTAAATCCTAAACCCTAAATCCTAAACCCTAAACCCTACTAAGAACCAGGGAGACTCAGCCCCAGAGCCGCCTCAATTCAATGTGCCCAGGGTGCAGGTTTTCGATTCCGCTACCGCGCCGGTGGTGGTGCGACGTGCAGGGCCCAGACCATGGGTTTGGAGGCTTTAGGGTTTAGGGGTT